TATTTATTTATTTATTTATTTATTTATTTATTTATTTATTTATTTATGGTTGCGTAATATTTAAAAGTCTCTCTCCTGATAGCTTTACTCACTGTTCCAAAATATGCTAAAGGTAACCATGGCTATGTTCAGGAATATGCAAATAGATTAAAGTAAAGGAACTTTTTAAAATGTATAATTTTACTGGACAATTTTTAGGACCTGGTTTACAAACATTGAGCAGACTTAAAGAACAGCTGTCAGCAACATATGAAACTTTCAAGACAATTTCTTTTTATTTTTGTACTCAAAAGGCTACATGCTTCATTTGTTGTAGAATGAATTAAAGGAAACAGATTTGATAAACTAACAAGTGTACAGAAGTTTTCACTTGTGCATTATCTGTATGCATGCAATAGTATAAAACTTAAAATTGTTCTTATTCAAGTAGCATTTCATAAGATCTTTTAAATAAAAAGCATTCTGGAGTAGTACAGAAATCGCTCTATATACATTCTGGACATGATACACTCAAAAGGAGCATCTGGCTGAGAATTTCACACTTTTCGGTTGGTATAATTACTTGGACAGGAAGCCAGACTAGATGGTGCATTGAGCTTCAATGTACTGTATGCATTTCTGATAAATGGGAAAAGAATAGATGACCTGGCAGAAGGCTCAGACAATAACATGTGATTTACAGGACATAAATGCAGCTACTATAAGATTTATCTGACAGCCCTCTACGATAGTGGACTGTTGAGTATCCGATGGAATGATTTCTAGTCTTGAATGTCTACTATTGAGTAGCCACACACATTATTTATTTATTAGATGTTTTGGGTTGAAACCATTTTTAAATGATGCACTTCACAATGCTTAGCAATAAATTTAGCGTTAACTCTAGAGGGGAGGTAGTGTTATTGGAATATATGTCAGACTGAATTAGGATGAACAAGCCAATGCTTTTATAAAGTAGCCTTGAATGTAACATGGATTCTTTCAAAAAATGATATTAATGTCAAGTAAGCAAGGACATTCTTCAGTTAATACTAAATGCAGAATCATTTTATGCTGTTAAACAGCATTGGTACTTGGCCTCAGAATGCAGTATCAATTAAAAATGTCCTGAGGTCTTTAAGACAAGTGTGGACATCTGATGGAGTTGACAGGGAGAATAAACAATAGTATTTCAAATAATTTGACATTTTGTGTATACTATGAAAAAAAAAGAGCTAAGGCACTCAGAGTTTTTATCCAATGCCTGGATTTTTATTATATTACAATAAACTTTTAAAAAAATAGAATTACTTTTAAAAATATCAGTATATTACTTTTAATATACTTTTTGTGTACCATTTACACTTGTAAAATTTAGTTTCTGCATGGATTATTACACATTTTTAAAAATAATATGTCATGATAGGAATTAATCATAGCAGTGCTTTAATGTGATATTATGTCTGCCAATCCATAAAATTTTAAAATCACATTTACAGATGCGTATGTTTAACTGTATTGTATTATTTATGTGATTTAATCTAGTTTCCGACCTGATCTTTCGATCTTTGGCCCCTCTATCCTCTCCATCTCTTCTTAAAAATTAATTAAAATTTTAGCAAGAGGGTCACTTCATTTTCCATCTTATTTGAAAAGAAAAAATCAATCAAGCTCAACCTCATCCCTTCATAGTATTTGTAAAATGTCGGGCTGAAATTCAATTTTGATCTCTCAGGCTTCCTATGGTAACACAGTTTTTCTTTTTAAAAAATAGATCATTTCTATGATTGCAATAATGATTCTAAATTAGAAAAAAATGAGAGAAAAATATGTAATTATCACCCAAGTTTAAATCTTTATACCTCTGAGATCCTTTCAGTTTCATTTCTTAGATTGTTTTTTGTGTTATAGCTACTCTTTTTAACCAGGATATCATTTCTAATTACTATGTTTTTTTCGACTATTTAATACAAAATAACGCATTTCACTGTTATCATCTTAATTAATTCATTACCATATTCTATTCAATAATAGGACATAAACAATATGAATGAAAAACAGACATTAGACTATATCATTCATTCCACTTTGAATCATAGAACTATAGAAGTAATTCTGATACAAGTAATTCTCATATGTATTCATAGTTATGTATATTTTATATTAGTGCATGTGATAGATGTGTGTGTGTGTCTGTGTGTGTGCTAAACAATAAAGTTTTAACTATTTTCTCAGTTAATAGTACTTTTACATGTTTATCACAGTTTCAAAGAAGTTATTAAAAGTATTAAATAAAGTTCCTTCCTTTTAAAAAATCATTATTTTAAAATATGCTACCTTGGAAATTGACTTATCTACCTTCCTACCTATCTATGTCTATCTCTACCTACCTAAAATTGTATAGTATCCAGATGCTTATGTGCATTTCTAGAAACAATTCAAATAGTCCTAACATGTTTGAGTGCATTACTGAATAACAGACTCACTAGAAACAAAACTATTCTTCGCTAGTTCATTGTAAAAATCCATTAGCTGTAATCTCCAAAAGTAATTGTTTTTATTGCACTTTATTGTCGATGCAAGTTATTGATTTTTCACACCTTCTATGATTCTTTCATTTGTATTCATGAAATGTCTATCAGCACAGACTAAATACATTTGGCAATACAGGCACTAAAACAAATAAATCAATGTAAAAAAAACATTAATTTTGCATTATCCTTATTCGTCAGGCAAGTAAACCATAAGGGCTTTAAATGAAGGTCAAAGGTTCTGAAATGGGTCAAAACCCTTGACCTCTACACCAATAACATTCCCATTAAAAAAAGCTATTTTAAAGTTTTAAGTAGGGGAATTTACTATCAGTAAAAATGTGATTTTTAAAGGACAAAACAAAAAAGCTTGATAAAAACTTTCCATATGATGGAATAATGATGAAGAAAAATGGGAGATGAATAAACCATTTGCTATTTAATCTACTACATATTATAATTTGTTGATGTATCTAATTTTTTAGATTATTTCTTTTGTAAATCACAATTAATTGCAGTGCTACTTTCAATAATAGTATAAAATATGATGTTATTCATATTATTAATAGTAGCATTTTACATTTCTCATAGAACCTATGTCAAGAGCAATTAGTATGAGGCTCCATGTATTTTAAATCATTTTTAAAAAGGCAAAGATCAAATCTCATTAATTCTAATGCAGCTATATTATTTTGCATTATATGTTAACATCCATAGTTTTGTATTTTCTTTGTTAAATATATTATTGGGTAAAAAGATGCCTCTTATTAAAACATAATAAAGCCCAAAACTTTAAGGCAGTATCCATCTTGATCACATTGGATAATATAAGATATTATATTATTAATATAAGATATAAGATATATACTAGTGAACTTTTCTAAAAAAAAATTCTAGAAGTTATGTTATTTCAAGGCAGCAGAGACATTTGCTTGGAGCTGGGAATGTAAAATATAGTAGACACCAAATTGCAGCTACCTCTGCTGTTATTCTGAGTCTCTCAAATAGCTTTTGTAATCAGGTTTATTTGAGTAATGCCACAATAATGTTGTTTAGGCTATTATCAGAAAGAAAAAGACATTAAATTGTGACAAAAATAAGAGTATGGAGACAAATAGTTGGGAAAAATTAGATCTCAAGTTGCTGAGGTTAAAACTAAATCCAGAATATCGAAGACCAATGATCTGAAATACAATTTCAAAAGCTCTAAAACTAAATGTTTTTGATTGCTAGTTTACTTGCTTGCTTTATTGGCAATACTAGCTGTTTAAAGTCAGCTGAAACCTACCTGAGAACAAAGCAGCATGACCAATTCCACAACTGAACTGCTAGATTTCATACATACAAGACCTAAAGGAAAAAAGAAAAAGAATTACATACTTTGATTGGCTTTACCTTCATATATTTAATATACAATATTGGAATTTTATTATATAATAAATACTCTATTTGAATTTTGATAATGTTGTCCCTATCCTGTAGAATAATTCTCAGTTAATACAAGAAATCTCACATATTCATTGTTTTATCCAATTGTTTGTCAGTGGAATATGTATTTAAAGATATTCACTAATTTCATTATTGCAATGCATAATTTTAATATAAAATGATGGCCTAAAGCTATTTAATTGGTATTACATAAATATTAGGGTTTCGAGTTAATAAAACTAAGTATGGCATATGGAAATTGATTTATAATATTACATTTCTTCACCTTGGAATGGATTGATCGTTATATATGCAGAGAAGGGAAATGGTTCTGTGACCTTTGCTTTCTCCATTGCGCTCTCTCCCTTCAGCCCTCCAGCTATCAATCAAGTTTCCATTTTGTTTCATGGCAGCAGACATCCCAAGCACTCTTATTAGTACTTTGACCCTTGACCCTCACCTAAACCTTAAGGAGGTGGAGAGCACAAGAGTAACCTATACATTTATAAACTAATTTGATTATTAATATCAATTCACACTTCATGCTATTTCCCCAGTATAATATGAAAACATGTTATCCTAAACACCCAAACAAAATTGGCATTCTTTTCAGTAATCAGTGTTTCACCACACCAAGTTTCATTCTGTTTGTCTTTGGGCTTAATTAATTATACTGGGGAAAAAACCTACTAAGCCATAATATCACACATTTAATATGTTACAAAAATAGACTAGATGAAGTATTAGATTTTAAACCCAATGCTTCTGTATAAACTTTTGGATACAACATAATGTATGTATGTCATAAACATTTTATTTATGTATTCATTGAATTTAGGAATCATTCCGCTAATAATGCACTTAATAATAACAAATTATCAAACTCTTGAAAAATCATAAATTTGAAATGTATGCTAAAATATTTCCCTGAATTCACCATTTAGCTTGCCAGTTTATATTACCTTTTATAATGGCCTTTTTAAAGTACACTAATACTGAAAGCAGAATCTGTCAATTTTCTGGTGTATTTCCTAAAAGTTTGTAAGCATTACACTAAGATAACACAATTTCTACTAACCACAATTTCAGTTCTAACCAGAACTGAAAATGTCTTAAAATCCAATTTTTAACATAAGTTTTTAATCGCCATTTTTAGTTTCTATCATTTAGAACATTTTATAAACTTTTAATAGATTTGCAATTGCCTTGAGATGTTCTCCTCTGAAATAAGAAACATCCATATTTCTGGAAATGTAATAGCATAATAGTTGATACCATCCACTGTACCACCACCACTCCTGAAATCTATCTTCACATATTGTATATTACTAAACAATTAATACAACCTGAACATTTAAATGAAATGTAATGGGCAACATTACATTTGGCCCATTGTTGGGCAACAAATAGGAATGAAAATATATATATATATTATTATTATATGATAAATCTATCATCAACAAGTCTTTTTTGAAACTTTAATGGTTTATCAAAATATAAAATAAAAAGAGAAGTTAAAAAATAATAATAGAAAATTAGGAGGGGGGAAATGATGTAAAGAAGGAAAAGGAAAGCAAAAGGCACAAAGGTAGAGCCACAAACCTTTTAAATGAAATTGTCTGATCCATAAATCATTTGTACCTTCTAATACTTGAATTGTACACAACAAAAGGCCACCATCTGCCTGTTCTTTTATTTGCTAAATCTTTCTGTAAATCAGTTTCAGATGCTCAAGGTTACTATGCATTTCCTGTATTGTTTCTCTAGAAACTGTCTCGCCCTTTCACTATTTGATGTACTCTCCTGAAATTATACATAGCTGTCTATATTCTTTCAATACTATAAATTACTTAAAAGTACTTACTTTCAACCCTTTTATAATCAAAAGTAATAATGTAATAGTTTAATAAACCTACCCAAACCTACTCCTAAACCTGATATACACAGATGATTATATTTTACAATGACTCTTATATTATCCTAAGATTTTGTTGCTCAACAAACAATAAAATTACCTTGTTTAACAGTGTATTAAAAAGTTATGAAATGCTGGAAGACACTTTGCTTTTCAGAAAGAGAAGAATATAATTTATATGTTTATTACAATGACAAGGCAATATCAGGTAAATAGAATGATCAACAAAAATTAAACTTTACAGTTGAATCAATACAAATGTTCAGAGTAGATGCCTATATAAGAACCAAACTGGCAGTCGTAGCTAAGACGACTTTTTCTGAACTTCAGCTTTTTCACTACTTATATATTTTCCTGCATCAAGAAGCTCTTCTTTCAGTCATCTCCTATATGAACTATTGTAATGGGCTTTAGATGGGGCTACCCTTGAAAAACATCCTTGAAGAGCATCCAGACCAATTGTAACTGGTGCAGAATGTGGCAGTGTGAGACATTTTGGATGCCCTAGGGTTGCGCATGTAACATCTCTGCTATGTGAGCTGCACTGAGTGCCAGTTTGCTTCCAACTCCAATTCAAGATGTTGGTTATCATCTTTAAAGCCCTTCATGGCATGGAACTAAGTTACCTGTGGAACCATCTCATACTAATTGCATTATCCCATCCCACCTGATCAGGAAGGGAGGGTATGTTCCAAATCCTATTGGTAAAAGAATTCTTACTGATTGGATCCTGGAAGATAGCCTTCTCTGCCATTGCCCCTGACCTTTGCAACATCTCACGCCCAGAGGGGAGGCAGCCCCCCTAGCCTTCAGTTAAGTGTGAAAACTTGATTCTGCCAACTGGCATGGGGTTGGACAATGCTACGTGACTGTGCGGGTACTAATATCAGAATAACAGAGTTGGAAGGGAGGTATAGGAAATCCTGTACCATTTCCGACAAATAGTCATCCAATATCTTTTTAAAAACTTCCAGTGTGGAAGCCTTCACAACTTCTGGAAACAAGTTGTTCCACTGATTAATTGTTCTGTCAGGAAATTTCTCCTTAGTTCTCGTTGTTTCTCTCCATGATTAGTTTCCATCCATTGCTTCTTGTCCTGCCTTCAGGTGCTTTGGAGATAGCTCGACTCCCTCTTTGTGGCAACCCCTTAGATATTGGAACACTGTTACCATGTCATTCCTAGTGCTTCTTTTCATGGATAGTAGGTGTTTTTCTGCCTTTTTAACTCTCTAACTTTTAATTTTATATCAAAATATTAAATTATTAATTTTTTTAAATTTATGCCTTTAACTTCGTTCTTTATTGTGAATTGTTTGTTGTATTGTAAACTGCCCAGAGCCACTTAGGTGAGATGGGCAGGATAGGCATGTGATGAATAAACAAAGCAATAAAAATGGTGGGCACTGTTGTCTTTACCAAAGCCAACGAACTACTGAAGCCACACAATGTTTTTTATGAACCACTGAAAATAGACTGCATATTAAAAATTCACAGATTTAACATTTCATTGTTAAATATAGGTTGTCCATAAATCGGAGAGTCTTAAATCAGAAATGCCTGCATAGAACTGCACAATATTCTAAGGGAAAATGAAGAAAAAAATGTAGTTGGTTATAAGGATAGGTAAAAAGGATAGATGAATAGGAAAAGTGATCAAACAATATGCAAAATAATAATAAATAGTGAACAGAATATTAGGGTGTAGCTAGTACAGTCCTGTTCTCCCACCCCCATGTATACTAAATCATTTTGTGGCTTTTTAATTCTAATTATATGAGCTGAAAGTAATCCTAAAATAAGCACTAAATAGTTTGGTGGCAATATTCAGCTAGTAATATTATTTAAATAATTTATTCAATATAAAGAATAATTTTAAATTAGCTTCCAACATCAAATATTTATTTAAAATATCACAGTTCTTATCTTATAAAAGCATAAGAAAGGGAAACTTACTTGTACCTTCTATCAGCAGTTCTTGACCATGACTACCCAAGAGGGTACGCGAAAGAAAAGGAGCAAAGTCCACAAATATCTCCCTCAGAAGAGGGGCAGCTTTTTCCAAAGCATGCTCAAGCCTCTCTGAAATACTAAAAGATGTACAAGTTCAATGAAAAACATAATGTAAGGAGCAAAAATTCTGTAAGGAGAAAACAATCTGCAAAAGTATGCATCAACAAAAGTCAACAAGCCAGTGGCTAAACACACTGAGTTTAATTACTATTTCAACGGAAATAGCAGTGATAGAAATCTAAAACTTCCCATAGGCCTCAAATTAAAGAGCACAATCCAGTCAGAAGTGTAGAGTGAATTCCATATTACTTAAATAAATTGGAATATGATATAGCCAGCTGGAAGAAACTTAAAAGTTACCTCATGTTTGAAGCAGAATCCTCAGGCACAGAAGAAAGTGTAGGAACAGATGGTAATCTTGAATCTGATGATCCATTGCCTGCCAAATAGATTTTTAAGAGTTCAAATAGCTGTAAATATACAAAACTTTCTTTAATCAAAACCCATGCTAGTTCAGTACTTTCTACCCTGGTAGCAGTTCACTTTGGCTCCAAGATCTTTGCTCGGGCCGCTGTCTTTGAACTTTTTAACTGAAAATGTCACTGACTGAAAAATTAATCCTACCTCTATTCTCATATGAAGTAGACAGAACTAGTGGACACTTGTTTATAAAACATTTTTATGTGGGACATATTAAAGAGCATCAATTAAAACTTGTCTTTAACATTTTCAGACTGGGAAAAGAAAGAGTAAAAAACCCCAAAAGCTCTGTTGTTTTTTCCTCTACTTTAATTAAGATATGTACGCTTTACATTAATAGTGTGTCTTTATTCTTTAAAACTTGCCCGCTTCTAAGAAACAGTGTTCACACTTGCCAAAATCTAATTATTAAAAGATGCATGATATAGATGATGAAAAGCGGCTATAGCGTAAAATACAACCATGCAATTCTATCAAACCCTTGAATTACAGAGTATCCCCATTCTTGACTAATATATCTATATATACAGGATATAAAAAGTGTTTTTATTAACTATGCAGAAGGTCTCCCATGTTTCTATTCTACTATCAGAATATATCAGGGGCCTCATATTGACAGCTATGTTTCTTAACCAATAAAATGCCATCTAAGCTGATTGAAAACAGGTGAATATTTCAGAAATTCCTTTATTCAAAATAGTTAATTTCACTGACATTTTACAATTTGAGAAATTAACACTGAAGCTACCAAGTATTTTTAGAAGGAAAACAATATTCTATATAATTACTATGATTACTATCTTTCTGTTAATTAATTACTATTTTTAACATTTAATGGTTTTGTATAATTTGTATTTTATATTTTAGACTTATGCAAAATCTGTTTAGAATTCATAATTCCACACATTAGTTTCTCAGTTTCATAATAAAGTAGAGATTTAGTATTTAGCTTAGATATTTGACAATACTATCGCACATATATTTAAATTCTGTAATATCTAGCATCGTCTTAATATGAGTAGTCTCTTTAGAATGTAGTATTCTGTATTTTATACTTGTAACAGATTAGAATATAAGTAATTTTAAGATATTTAATATTTTAGTTTGTCTCCAGTATTTAATTATTAACATTTAATGTTTATTAACCCAGGTAGTTCTGATTAATTTGTGTTACCTATTTACAAATTATTTTTATTATATGGCATCTCTCACTGGAATAAATATTTTCTTAAAAAGAGCTACAAAATGAACACATTAGCTAGCATTTGAAGAAAGAATTAAATCCATTCAGACTCATTTAGAAAACTGATCTTTTCATAGAACTAATATAAACATACTGTATCTATGTTCTCTTTCTACAGGAAAACAGACACAATAAATACCAATTATAGTGGATTATTAAATCAAAAGATCAAAATAAATATTCACATCAATTCTAGTTATTAAAAGATATTCGTCAATTTGCTCATGCTTGAGAAATATCAATACAATATCAATTCTTCCCTACATTTTAGAGATTTTCCCTTATCTTTTTCAATACTCCCTCATAGTAAGCTGATGTTATTTGCTTTCGGTTTTTAACAAATGAACAACTATGACTGAGATACAGATACAAGTCCTAAAGTCTCAATTTCTTTCTCACATTTGTTTTCTTCTTCAATAGATAACACAGAAGAAAGAGTGCATAAAAAGTTTAATTTCTGAAAAATCTTGAATTATTATGTTTATTATTGATTTATTTAATGTATTTATTTATATTTTATACTGCTAACTCACTGGTGCAATGGCTCTGGGTAGATTACAATATAATAAAAAGTAAAAAGGGTAACACGAATCAATTAAACTTAAGAAAATTAAACAGAAGCTAAAAACCAAGAGGATGGGAGACACGGGTGAGGATCACCATCCTGTCAATGCTAGAGGTCACTCAAAAATGTGATCAATACTATTTCTACCTCATATCTGGGTCTGAAACCAGACTGAAAAATCATCATGATAATTCACTTCCTCCAAGGTTCTCTAAAGCTGTTGCACAACCACCTTCTCTACAACCTTCTCAGAAAAATAGATGGACAAATAAGTATTTTTTTTATTATTAAAATAAGTCTTCGTATAATTCAGGATCAAAAATGTATTTGGCTGAAACATTATCTCTGCAAGCAATATGCATACCATTAGATCAATAAAGTTACATGAAACCCTGGGTCCTGATAGTTTTCTGGTAATGGGAATAGGAATGGGAGATGGAATGTGGAAGTGACAAACATGTTAAAATGGACCCTCCCTAAGGCTGTAAAGGTGACTGGGAGAAATGCACATTCAGACTTTTAAGACAGTATAAGTCTTGCCAGGTTGTCCACACAGGAAACATGCTCATGTGCACTAATTATATTTTATTGTAAGGTTATATTAATAGAATCTTGAAAAAGTAAAGATATGATATTAAATCGTGTTCCAAAAAATTTGAATATCTCAAAATGTAAGAGCTTTGGGTTTATCATGCATTTTTCATGTTTTTTCCTTAACTTCTGTATTTGTTTTTAAACTATTTTAAAAATGAATATCTCCATGGGAACTTCTATGGCATATTGTTACTTATGGTATCCTGCATTATAAGACACTTGCCATTGTAAATTGTATGAAAATTATCACTTTTTCCACAATATTTATGTTAAAAAAATAAACTTACAACTATGACAAAGATCAGGAGCCAAAAAAAAAGTAAGTATGCAAGCTAAAAATCTGTTATAATAAATGTTCTTCCTTTTAAGTTGCTACTAACTCTGATCCTTTGGGATATAGCAAGCTATAAATCTAACAGGACAATATTAAGTTATTTGAGATATCAGCTCCTGATGTTGGACATTCAGAGTCAGCAACAGAGTTTTTGGTTACCACTAACTAACTGAAGAGCTTGGTTTATGATGAAAAACTTGGCTTGGTGCCCAGATAAAATGAAGTTTTATTGCAGCACAAGCTACTTCAAATCACATTTTCCATACTGCTAGAATCAGTAGAATGTAAATAGCAGTGCAGCACATCTGTTCAGGCTAATGCCTACCTTAGAAAGGAGAAGCAATTCCATATAGCAGTTCCTCTCCAAGCTTAATTAACTAGTCAGAAAAATAATGTATATAGTGCATGTTTAAAAAATTATTTGGTCAGTTGATAGGTTTAAAACAATTGTGCAACTTAATGTGAATAAGATAAAACCTAAAGCTAAATATATACAAAATGCCACACAAAATTGAACCTGAAATTTTATATTTCCTATATACAGTATATGAGACAGTGTTAAAAAAAAACAACCAATTTCTTTACAAATTTAGATTTAAGACTGTACCCTTTAGGGTAAAAACATCCAAGTAGTTCTACAAATTAAAATACTATTTAAGGCTTATAACTTCAGCACTGATTAAAAATAGTAGTCTCAAAGAATATATTAGATTGAAGATTGTGAAGCATAAAAATGCCAGTTAGGCATTGCTATGCAAGTGTTTCCAAAGCACTACATCATATAAATCTTCCAGTTGAGTTTTCATTTTAAAATGGCTTTTATTCGTTTAAGGGAAGAGAGGTCTTTCAGAAGCATGTTTTCTTCTAAAGCAGACATGCAAGTAACTGTGGTAGCTACTTCAAACAAGTGGAACCCAAGTGGCTTATCTCTCTTATCCTTTCACTGATAAACTGGCTCCCTCAAACTGACAGTTTTACAGACATATGTAAGGACATAAAAAGAAATGCAAATAGATCATCTGTCTAGCACCCTTCTAGTGAAAGCTTATTGTTTATTCAAGGTCCCCAAGGGTCTAAACAAATAATGTCTCTGGCAATAAACTACTCTTAAGAAAAGGGGTTGTTCCCAAAGTACTTGCATGTCTGAATGTATATGTGCAAACAAAGGTGTCACCTAACTACTAGTTCAATGTCAAAGTAACAGCTGAGACAGATTTTATTTTTCCTTTTTTTTCGTGACAAATAATTTTTTTAAAAATGAATATGTACAGTAGTTGGCTAAAGAAATATTTTGCATATAAAAATATTGTTGCCCAACATAGAAAAAATATTTAAAAATTAAAGCTCAAGTTATCTGTTACTATTTTAAAATACAAATTAATTCATTTATTGCAAAATTTAGATACTATGTACCTCAAATTTATTTTCTTTACAGTAGTTACCTGATGCTCTCATTAGGATTGAAACATGAATCTTGTCTACTAGAAGAACTATCCTAAACATCCTCAGTGCAGGATTATTTCCTAATTCAAATCTGCATGAATATCATCTCAATAGTTGAATGAAGGTATTTAACTGATGCATAAGGATAACAATTGGGCAGATAAAATAATCTCTAGCGAATCATTCCAAACCAAGGTTTCATACAAATAAAAAGGTAGAGAACATATTTTCTTTCATCAGACACTAAATCACCAAAATAGATATTGCAATATATATAAAATAAATAAATGAACTTCAATTTCAGCTTTGTTTATAGTATCAAATAATTTAATTGGGAACGAACAAGTAATCAGAGTTAGTTTGCTTCAGAGGTTAAGGAATTGATCTAGAAACTGGGAGACTGTGAATACTATTCCACCTTAGGCATGAAGCCAGTTGGATGACCTTGGCCCAATCACTCTCTCAGCCCTAGGAAGGAGGCAATGTAAACTATTTCTGAAAAACCTTGCCAAGAAAACTGCAGGGTCTTGTCCAAGCAGTCTCTGAGAATGGGACACAATTGTATGAAGGAAAAAAGCAACCACAAGTAATTACCAACATTTTTGCATTTATTTTATAAAGTATGGAATTCAACTAGAAGGGAGAAAGTTACAATCCAAGGCAGAATATTTTCATATTACATGTTTAAGGAAGATGCAGGACCACAAATGAATACCAATGCCTTTTCTCGCTTTATATATAGTATTAAAAGCTATTTATATGGAGAAGGGGGGGTAGGCTCAGAGTTCTCCATCTTATTAGTCCATATAACAATCTTAGCAGTAACATCAGCACTGAAATTGGGGACATAATACTTATGGAAAAGTATTCTAAGAGCCAAATTTATAATAAATTAAAAAATAAGTAAAATGTTAAAAAAGATAAAATATCAGTGCTTAAGATTCTTTTGTATATTTTTTAGCTAAGGAAACTCAACTTTGCTATTTCAGTTGGGTGGTATATGATGTCTCAGTAGATATTACAAATATATATCATATTGCTTTGATATTTTATTTTGCACAACTGATCTCCATTCTCTCACTTACTTGGAGAGCTTCCAGTTACATCTGGAGCTTGGGAAGAATCCAAAGAAGAAACCACACTAACAGCATTTGTAGGTACGTTAATTGTAGCTGCAGATGAACTCACTGACTTCTTTGGTGCCACAACCACACTCCTATGATAGAAAAGAAGTATGTTACAAACTATATTTTAAATGCTTGAGAATAGTCAAATATATATTTAAAATATATAACAACTCAGACTTCTGTGAAGTAGTCAAGTTGGAAATTCAGATATTACTTCTCTTTTTTCAGAATTGTCATAATTTTATTATATGTTCTAAGGATACCAAATTGTTATTAAAAATCTGCTAATCTTTAAATATAATCTGAAACATATTCTGATTTTGCTCTTTTATGTCAACACTTTACATTATTTCTAATGAAAACTACACAAAAGTAGTTTTAGGCAAAGTAGCCATCACTAGAATCAATATGTTTAAAACAAAGTAGACATTTGCACAAGAGTTTAAATAAATTGAACTACTTAAACAGAAGTTGAAATTTTAAAAAATGGACCAATATGTTTTAAACTTTATAAACAAGTTACTATAGAAATGACCTATGAAATCAATGTTCTAACCTAAATACCCAGAAATATTCAAAACTGAATAGAGTGCATGTTTCAGACATCATTTATATTAGAAAAAATAATTGTGGCTAACCAGTTTCAATTAAATAGTAATGTTTTATCCCAAACATCTAAAATATCCAGTTAACCATACATAAAAGACACTTTTAATTGCAAGTTAGCTCCATAAACATGCACTACCTCTGTTAATGAGCTAAGGAATACAGTTGATATATATTATGGACTCCCAAAGCAGTGCTTCTTTTTAATTACCTGGTGTTAACTATAAGCCAAAAGTCTTCAACATTCAATTTATTTAATCAATTTATTCTGTTGACAGTACTGTTAAGTAGTGGTAGAAAGTATTCCCTTAATAGCATTAAAATATGTCGTTTGTAAATAAAACACATTAACATTGACTCCAAACTCAGATATACAATGTGGAAATTTTCTAGCAGCTTATAAATTTATTAAAAACATACCTTTATTTCTTCCCATTTTAAGTTCCACTGATTACTGTAACTAAACCAGGCTTGAATAGACATTCTGAATACTATGAATGAATAGGTATTCATTATGGATGTTACCGGGTTCATCAAATTATTACAAGGGTGACTGCTAATGTTAACTATACATTAAAATATGGAAGCAAAAACCACCTGAGCCCTAAACCAAGGAATTAAGCCATAACTGTAGATATTTTTCACATGCACATAAATTTGCATAGAAACTTATTAGGTTGTAAATTCATATTATCAGAATATGAGCTTTGATTTTCACTTTAAAAACAATTTAAGACTAAAGACTATCAATTTTAGATGTATGTTAAGTTTATTATGATTAATATTTTAATTTGGAATGATTAGAGACAAAACTTAATAGTGGCCCAAAAACATACAGATTTTTTTTTGCTACATCATTTTGCTACGTGGAAAAAATACTGTATTTGTGCTATGCCACATCAAAAGTTAAAAGTTAAGATATTGTGAGTATGTGACTGGCAATTATTACAGTACTTTGCCATGGATCCTGAATCATTAATTTGTAGCAAGGATGAAGTAGTGTTACTGTCATTCAATGAAAGAAAAAATGTTTCCGTTTTTCATCCTATAGAAAGTGTATGCATTGGTAGATGTATGAATGAAAAGAAGTGAATTTGTTGAGTTATGTCTTTAAGAGATACATGTATCCATGTTGGAATATGTAGGGACCCTGCAAGCTCTGCTTAACATCCCAAGTCAGGTAGTTGTTCATTAATAACAAATATGAACCCATTATTAAAACAAAAACTAAAAGTGGTTTTTAAGCCCTGTGGCTCTGGAAATTCTTTTGGTTGTTTTTTTTCCACAGTGGAAGCCTAGCCAGCCAGGTCCAGCATCCAGGCCAAACATGCTTCATCAGCAATGGGAGCAAGAAGAGGGCGAAGGTCACCTGTGATAGTGGAGTGCAGGCCAAGAGTTACGGCTTTGGGGTGGGGGGAATAGGCAGATAATGGAGTTTGGCCATAATTGTGTGCAGGCTGCCAAGTGGCAAATATCTGTAGCTCGGTTGTAGGATGGGGGTGAAGGTTCGTTCTCCAAACCTTCACCCTCAAGCTACTAAGTGCCCACTTTCAAGCCAATAATTAAAATGTCCGCAACGTTTACATTATTTACCGTATTTCATCTTGTTTCTTCAAAACTGATGACTATTGAAGTAATAAAAGTACATTCTCATAATTCAGTTAATTTCCATATTTGACAGAGACTAATGAGTTTATGTGTTAGGATAAATATATATACATTCTAACAAAATTTTGCAAAAACTCTGAAATACCTTAAAAATAGGAAAAAGTTTGCCTTCAAATCTAATTTTCACTGCAAAGAACAACTATTTATCTTTAAAGGACTGAAAAATTAAGATCATATTTCAGTACTTCTAATAACTATACCATAGATGATTTTGCTTAGTTTATTTTATTCAACAGGACTTTAGATAATTTCCAACATTTCTACTGTAAACAAAATGAAATAAAATATAATTTTGCTCCTGGAAATCTATAGAAAATAAATACTGCCAATAGTCTGTCAATTCACTGGGTCTACTTCCTTAATGAAAAAGCCAGACCAGGCCTTGAACTTTATCAAGATAGATCCCTGGCACCCTTTAATCACCAGATTGGATCTCCATGTAAGATAAAAGAGTAGTTTTGAGTTTGGGAATAAGCACACATCATCTTCTTGTTTGCAAAAATCCACAACCTGCCAGCCTTTCAGTTAGGTCTCACTCACGTAGCTGTTACTGTATATTCTCCAGCTACGGCTGAAAAGTTGATAATCCTTAAAATATGAGGAGAGTTTTGATTTCTGACACAACATTCCTGAGATAAATGTAGGATCAGAGAGATGCTTTGAAATTCCCAGAGATACTTTTCTGTAAAACTGTTACATAGGAAAAAAATTTAACATGATTTCTTCTTCCTTCAACTTCAAAAGTTAATTCACAAATCCCTGTGTTCCACACTAGACAATACATTAAATATAAACCAGAAACACTAAGTTCATCAGAGCATCCTGAAGCCAGCTTGCTCTAAGTTTTCAACTGTAATGTTAGTATTGTGATGTCCCTAGAGATAAAAACCAGCTCGTTTCCTGAACAACAGGTCATAACCCATTCTGCCCACAATCAACCTAAAACTGTAGCACATGCACGTGTGTGTGCGCGCGCGGACACACACACACACACACACACACACACACACACACATAAATAAAAACTGGAAAAAATGGGAACCCACAATGGGACAAGGTTCCACCACATGTTAAAATCTTACAAGAAAATCAATTATTATTTGGTCTCCTTAAAATTGCAACAATACAAATTTATGCTTATGCTTCTGAATTAGTTTCTTATAATGCAAAAAGTCTTCATAAAAGCACAAAGCAATCCTGAAAAAAACTGAACTAATGCTGACTTTTCTTTCTACCATCTGTAAAAGCTTGGGTTTTGTTTTGTTTTTTAACTTTTATTTTCACTAGTTTAACTTTTTGCCACTAAGCATTTGCATTCAATACCTCAATAAGAAATCTCAATCTAAAAGGTTTTTACTCTCTATGATTGCTATAATTAAAAGTAGTCAATATTTCTTAAGTATACATTGGTGATTTGGATTCTACAATTATTTTTTAGTCTTCACTATGTAGCACTTATTACAAATTGATAATTAACATTTTATGTGCTTTACCTTTACATTACAGGTAGTCCTCATTTTGTGACCATTCAGAATTACAACACTGACATGACTGTTTTCACATCTATGACTGTTGCAGCATCCCCAGGTTTCATTATCAAAATTCAGACACTTGGCAACTGGTTCACATTTATGATGGTTGCAGTGTCCTAGAGTCATTTTGTGATCTTCTGACAAGCAAAATCAATGCGGAAGCCAGATTCACGTAACAACTGTGTTACTAATTCAACAAGTGCTGTGATTCACTTAAGAACTGTGGCAAGAAAGATGATAAAATGGGACAAAATTCACTTAACAACTGTCTCACTTAGCAAGAAGCATTTTGGGCTCACTTGCAGTCATAAGTCGAGGACTGCCTATACTATACTTTTAGATTTATAAAATATATTTGCAGGTATACACATTTCAAGAAAAATATTTAATTTTAAAAGAAAAGTTATTTTATATGTCATTTTATATAGGTCAAGGTTTAACCATCCTTACCTGTCAAAAGATTGAAATTGTATTGGTTGTGCAGTAGCACCATCACCAAGGACTCCAAGAAAAACAGGTAGAAGAACAGTAGGGTCAACCATGGCCCCGTCTGCAGGAGCACTGACCAAACTTCTTAGGATGTCTTTCACATTGACGTTTTTTGCAGTTTGCACAGAGGATGCAGTTTTACCATCTACCTCATTATGTACTTCATTTGTATTTTCTTGAGATTTATTAACTTCTGAAGAAAGAGTACATAATATTTCACTGATCGCATCTGGACCTGTACTTATACTCTGTCTTTCTGGTTCAGTAACCATCTCAGAATTGTCTCCTGATCCAGAATGTGCTTCCTCCTGAATTCTGGAATCCCATCTTTGTGGAGATGTCACACTTTCTGACTGCTCGGCAGGTTCCTGACTTAAAGTAGTAATAGCTTCAGATTGTTCTTCCTTAACTTGAGAGAGAGAGATAAGATATAGTATAAAATATCAGAACTACCTTCGAAGTGATGAGATTATTTTATAAACAACTGCTGTCTTAACAAAAATTACAACAAATATCTGTTCTTAAATTTTTCTGTTCTTAATTCATCATATGGACAATACTAGAGGTTACTGTAACTAAGAATTCCAACTAGATTCTATGCTAGAACAATTAAAATTACTTTGCATTTATAATATTTATGAGGTCTCTTTACTTACTCAGTTATCTGATATTAGGGCTGAAAAGGTTAGATTGACAAGCTACAAAAAGTCAAAAAGAACACAGTGAATCTAGAAAACAATTAAGGCTATAATGTACAGAAGGGGTCCTCAACCACCGGGCCGCGGACCGGTACCGGTCCATGGAGCACTCTGTACCGGGCCGCAAAGAAAAATAAATAAAAAAACTGGCGGCTTTCTTCGCCTTCGGTGAATGCTGCTGGGATCGGGGATCAAGGACACAAATGAAAGAAGGGGAGGGAAGAAGCAACCAAAGCCTGTCCTGCTCTCTGGCTCAGCAGCTTCGGTTTCCTCCCGCCTTGTTCCTCTCTCAGTCGCTCTCTCGCTGCTCCACCAGCCCAGGAAGAAACTGCTTCAAAG